GGAATGTCAGTTAAAGGTGGTATTTCCAGCATAATCCTGAAACACTTGTCTGGGTAGGAGGTGTGAGGAAAGAAATTGTCTGCTGTTCTGACTTGTACTGTGCTCCAAGAAACTTTCTCTGTAAAATACTATTTCTGTAAAAAGCACTATTGCATCACAGAAATAATGGGTTGCATTTCTTGTCTGGGCAGAAACTATTTTGGCAAGTTTATCAGCCAAAAGGGCATTAGGTCCACTACTACAATATGCTTGTTTTTTATGAGGGTAAATGAGTTAAGAGAGAAAAAACTAATATTGTGTGGATTCCTCCAGGAGCAATATTGGAAATTCCTGGAGTTTTATACTCTTACTGAAAGCGATGACAATCATGGATGTATCTAAAACACTGAACTTGTTTGCATGAGACAAAAGACCAAGGTCTGTTACCAGGCATAAGCACAAGCTTATCAACCCAGGCTGTGTAGCTCAGCATCAGGTGAACTGAAGTACTAAATAGCTGAATGAATGTGGGTTACACAAATCTTTTACAAAATGTGGAAAAGATATAAATTGAAAATACCATAGCAGATAGAATTGAAACTGCAACCAGATGGACTTCTGGAATAGTTCAAAGAAAGATTGTATTTTAAACATAGTAGCTAATCAAATTTGAAGTAAAATACTACTTAAAAGTAGTAGGACTGTCCTGTTCTCTCATGAGTTGCTAGAGCAGAGTCTTTTTCAAAACATAACTAGGCTTCCCTGATACAAGGGTTTTTTACAGCATTTTACAGGTATTATTACTATGCTGTATAACATTTGTCAAGTTGTTGAAGTACAAGATATGAAAGGAGAACCCCTGCATTGATCCTGAGAGAAAAATGCTGAAACTTTTAGGTCCAATATTTTAAAATAATGAAAATGTTAATAATAAAAGTAATTTGATATAAATGTATAAAGACAACTATAAAATCATCAAACATATTTTATATTAAAATATTTAATATTGTAATTATTATATTAAAAGTACATGTTTTTTAATATATATAAAAATAAATAGTATATTTGTGGGTCCAGTTTCTTAACACTGCATAACTCATATTAAGAGTATCTTTGCCCTACCTAACCATGTAAGTTTCTAAATAATCTCTTAGGTCAGAAGAACTGGAAAAAACAATCAGAGCTTATGCAAAAAGGCACAGATGCTGGATCCAGCTTGTGCTGTTTAAGTGACTTGATGATATCACTTGGTATCACTTGATGATACCAAGGAGTTTTTAATGAAACTTGCATATATATGAAACAGACAATGCAAGATGTGGTCTTGAGGGATCTCCTCTCTACAAAGCAAGTGCTTACACTAAGCAATAGTACCTGTTTTAATTAAATGGTCAAGCTAAAAATTAGTTGAGATACTATTTTACTTAGAACAGAAAATATGTCATTAGCTTTTGATGATCATTTATGTTCTAATTAGAATTTCTGTATTTCACGTTAGGTTGGCGCTGACCTCAGTGAATAAATATGAAGAAGCAGTTACCAGTTATCAAAAAGCACTGGATCTTGATCCAGAGAATGACTCTTACAAGTCAAATTTGAAAATAGCAGAACAGAAACTAAGAGATGTGTCCAGTCCGGTAAGTTTGCTCTGCATCTATTTATGTACAATAGTTTAAACAGGATTTTGTAGGAAACTTAGATTCAATTGCAATTTGTTTGTAGACTGGAACTGGACTGAGTTTTGACATGGCAAGCTTGATAAACAATCCTGCCTTCATTAGTATGGTGAGTATATCTCAAGGTTTGCATTATCCCATTTTAAAAACGGAACTTTTAAGAACAAGTCTTGTTCAAGAACAGAAACAATTTTAATGAGTATTATTATAGCAATGGCTTTATTACACTGAGTTTAAACTTTTATACATAATTTTCCACTCTAAACAAGAAGTGAAGCAAGTATGTCCAATAATGCCTGTGTTATTTCCTGCTGATTGTCTGTTACTTATAGAAAACAACACACATAGGTTAGCTATGCTGTTTTTATGTATGCTATGACAGAAGGCTCTTGTCAACAGCATGATGAAAATTTCTTCAATTCTCCACAGAACAGTTAACAATGATACAAGGACTAAAGCAACTTTTCTTTGGGAGAACTATCCAAGAGACCTTTCTGTTCTTACTCTTTCAAATTATCCCTAATAACTTTAAGAGATAAAAAAATGAATATAAATAGCATGTACTGCATTCTTATGTTCAGTACAATAACAAATTGTGTACTCCTCCCTCAGTACAGCTCTTTTCTTTTTCCCACATAGCTTTCTTAGCTAACCAGAATTAATTAACTTTGTAGAATGGAATTTGGAGAAAAATAAACAAAAAAAAGCCCCACACAAAACAAACCCCAAACTTACTTTAAGAAAGCAGTTAAAACTTTACAAGCCCTCTCGTAGCTTCAATGGAACAGCACATTTCAACCAGTGCTTTTGTTTGAAGTGCGCTGCATTCAGAAGAGATCCATACATCTGGTTTGGTAACATGGTCCAAATAATAGAGACAGTAGGCAAGGAAAGAGGGAGCAAGTTCCGTGATGGCATTCATGATTAAATAGCACTGCATCTCTGTGTACTACTTCACTAGCGACATGATGTACTTAAGACAACCTCAGTCTGTTTAGAATCGATGACCTATGGAGCTGGCTTTGGGGAAAGGATCAATTACATTGTTTCCAGAAGATGCCTGGTGAACTAGATAGAACACTGTGCATGTATTCAGGAATAAATGAGTTGTTTTCCCAAGGTGTAGTTACTTGGTTTTTTCTTAAAGTGAATAAACTGCCTCACTTTCTGACCTTGAGAAAATTGCTTGTAGTCTCAGTTTTTGGCCCCTAAACTAGATAAGGCTTATTACTAATGGAAGAAACTACCCCTATATTGAGCACAGAATTGACCTGCATGTGACATTTTATAAATTTTATATCTAATTATTAACTAGAGAAAAAAGTTGATTTATTTTTGAGTTATCTATATATGTCGATATATTGAGCAATAAAATTAATACTGGATATATCTGATTTTTGTAATATCTTTAATAAGATAGTTAAGAAGCACATACTGTGTTTTGTCTATTGGTGGTGCATTCATACAGACACTGATTTTTGTAGGAATTACATTACTAACATTGAAAAATCACATGTTTTTTTCTATAGTATCAGTCCATAGACACCCTTACACTATGGTAAAAGCAATATAATTTTAGAGGTATCTAATGAATGAGAAATTTAAATAGCCTCATGCTTACTACAAAATAAGAAGATATGCAGTTACCAGAGAAGATATATGTTACCACAAAACCATGCTACAAAGTAAGTCCACACTCCAGTTTGATCCGAAATATTTGTGGCCATAATCTTAACTGTTAATGCCTGGTACTAATAAGAGTTGCAAAATTAATTTATCCAGGCTGAGAAGTAACAAAATACAGACTTTGTCCAAAAAGTCCAGTAGAAAACATTTGTCCTTGCAATTCTTCAATGTTTCATGTGTTTGTTTAGTTTTCTGGTGCTGGGTTTTTTTATGTTAAATGGCTTGTCATATTTTTCATGTCTGAATCTATAACCACTATTTTTTAACACATAACAAATTGTATCAGCTTCATTTCCATGAAATACATTGCTGTGGTGGTTCTTTTTGCTCTGCATGTAAACTTAATTTTGTAATAGAACACAGCATGTGGGTTTTTTCTGCATGATTTTCTCAGCAATAGCCAAGTGGTAAATATTTTATAATTTCAGCCATATGTTGTCTATTCTAGGCAGCAAGCTTAATGCAAAATCCTCAAATTCAACAACTGTAAGTATTAAAATGGGGTAGCATTAAAACAAATGACTTAAGATGTTTGAATTAATAACAGATGTATAGTACTTATAGCTGTAATTTTAAAATGCAGATGTATTACCGAAAAAGTAATTTTATTTTGCTTACTGTAAAGTGTAGCTTCTTCTCCTTGCAACTTAGTTCCTCTCAGCAATTCAAAAAAGAAGTGGGGCTTATTGCTTACAGTAAAGGTCCCTGCACACCCCAATACAAACACTGTGCTAACTGTTCCAGGATGTCAGGGATGATGTCAAATGCCATTGGTGGCCCTGCTGCTGGGGTTGGTGGCCTTTCGGATTTGTCCAGCCTGATCCACGCGTAAGTAAGAACTGCATGGTTTTAACTGTCACATTTGTAGTAGGATAACTTGCAACATCTATTTAAAAGGGTGCAGTGTCAAGGGAATTATACTGTGGTCTATTCCCACTGTTTGTTATTAAAACCAAGAACTCGGAGACTTATTTTCCAGGGCTGTGTTTGTTTGCTCCATACATTTCCATCTGCTGGGATGACTGAGCTGCTGTTTTCAACTGGAATGACTGAACAACTGAACTGTGCTCAGCTTCACTTTCTGGTTCTCATACATTGTTATTTTCTAACGCCACTTACTAAAAACATTCCTTTAAATCTTTTAAGTACTTCTACATGTGCTATCAAATTCTGTGGATAAATTTACTACCTGATATCTCAGATACTATTTGGGAAAGCTACAGCTCTGGCATCTGTCCATTTAGATGAGGAATGTTTCAGGGAACTCAGGATAACTAAGAATACCTTTACAAAACCCAGGACCCAAGGCTTTTATACTATAAAATGATTATATCCATCTGGAAGGGTCTGCAAAAAAACATGCATTTGCTTATATTCCAAGATCTCTAATAGGGCATACAATTTTACTTTATTTCAGCATTCTAGCCAACTCCAGACTATTTTTAAGTCTCACCTCTTCAGGGCAAAAGTAATTTATGATTTACATCACAGACAGAAATGTCTCACTGCAGAAATTTAGGACTATTTTCATAAAAACTGTGTACTATGCAGACATCTACCAAAATGTGGCTTTCCTTCAACCTGCACTGTAGTTTGAAGGAGTCTTGATAGTTTGCTGCTTGCACAAAATGTAGAAGTAACAGAGAGGACAAGCTAAGCTTTTAGTGAAATACTGTTTTTTATTTTATTATATAACAAGTGTTATGCTTCTCTTACACATGGAATTAGTCTCTGCTATTAATTTAACTCTTAAGCTACAACTGTTAATAGATTGATCTGTTATTACTTCAGTCATGCAAGATACAAAATCTTGATAGTATGCTTGCTTTCAATTAATGACATCTTGTTCACCGGTAAAAGTCAGCAGCTGCATACTGGATTTCTAGAACCATTAACATAAAGTTGCACTCCAATCTAAGAGTAGTTACTTTAAACAGAGTGGATGCTCTCAAATAGAAAGGAATAAATCACTGGAGCAGATGTGTTATTTTACCATAAAAGGTAATATATTTTGAAAGGTGGTACTTTACTTCTCTATGTTATCAAGTAGAATACTACTAAAGAAAGAAAATAAATTTATGACAACAATCCTGTTTGGAGACACTTTAACCAGATAAATTAATAATACTGCAAATACCTTAAGACTGTAAATCAAGATACCTTTAATCTTAATTTTAATGTCGTGCACCTTTCAGCTGTATTGGGATATCCTGTTTTCTTACACGTGCTGCTTTCACTTGCTTAGTTCACTTAAAACTGTTCAACACAGGGGGCAGCAGTTTGCACAGCAGATACAGCAACAGAATCCTGAGCTCATAGAGCAACTGAGAAATCATATCCGGAGCCGATATTTGAGTGGCAGCACTGAAGAACATTCCTGACTTCAACGAGTCATATGAATTGGAATGATGTATAACCCCAAAATGCATACCATAGTTAGTAGCAAAAGCACCATTGTAACTCTTCTGCTTGAATAGAAGACAGAAAATTCTTTGTGTGTGTTTGCAAACAAGAATAGATCTGGTAAACAGATCTCTTGCACATAACTTGGAACATAGCGTTTATGTATAGTTACTCCTCTGAAAATCAACACACTGAATAGGTGGTTTATCAAAATCCCCAAGTCCAAATCATTTCAGTATGTGCATCAGATTGACCTCCAGGGCTACTGAGTGGGGAGGAGTTTTGTAGTGTGCTGATCTCGCCTAACAGCTACTTCTAAAATTATAGTGTAAAAGATGTGTTACTCATATGGTGAGAATCATGACAGTTGTACTCCTTTAAATAGTATTGAAATACTGAAATATTGAAACAATAGGTCCATCTGATGTGCCCTTTTATAATGAGCATTAAGTAGTGTTGGAATAGAGACTCATGCTTGAGAAGTCTGTTTCCTTAATCCTGGGAGGATCTTTCATGAGTAACAGGAAATACTTTTCAACTTCATTGGGTAGAAGAGAGGGAGATGACTGCATATGAAGGAGTACCACACATTGTAGAGAAAGAGAAGACAATAATTCTGTGTAGGATAATTCACAGAAATCAAAATGGAACTTGGCTTGGGAAAGGAAAGAGAAGTTGTAGGGTTTTCTACTGCCATGTATACCCTCACGTCATTATGGTAGCCCTGGAGGTCAGAATTACGGCACTATGTTCCTAGGCATGGCAAGCTGTATTACATTCCGTACATATGCAGTATTTAATAAAAACTTAAAATTCTTAACTGTAATAAGCTAAAACTGAGCCTGTGACTGTACAAATAACTAGTACTGAAAATTTTAAAGAACTGCCTTAGAAGGATTCTTTTTCTATTGTGTGATAAATCACTGGCTTAAACAATTGGGGATTTTTTTTATTATACATATCTACCTAAAATGATGGTTATATAGTCAAGTAAAAGATTTTTCGACTCTATAGTATTTGTTTCTTGCTCAGTTAATATTACTCTGGCAAGACTGCTGCTCTTCTGTATGTCAAGTATGTTAACTTTTTTTACTCTGTTTACTGTTCACACTGCTTTCTGATACAAAGTACACTTGTTCTTAGCCCAGGGATGTTCTCAACACACTTTCCCCTTCCTATATCTTAATTAATTTTAGGAGCTTGCTTTGAATTCTTAGACAGAGTGATCTCTGGTGGCCAGTCAGTCTGGAGGAGGTATGTGGAGGAGTAACAATAGACTCCCAAATGGAGAAATCCTCAGAAACTCCTGAACCTTAGACTTTATATCCAATTGAGCTTGTGCTCATGAAAGAGCTTCTCCAGCAGAAGCAAATGCAAAATTTGGGGCTAAGTAATATACTCAATTCTAACAAATTATTGTTGTACATCTACGGTATGAATTTTACCCTAATAAACAGACAGAAAAATGCTGATCCAATGAGAAATGAAAGGAATTGGAGAAAACATAAATCTAGGAAATCCATATTACCATCTATTGAATAAACAGGTAAAACTTAATACATGAACAATTTAAAGACATTTCACACTTGATTGAATAGCTTGCCTATGTACAGCATTAAAATGCTTTCGAAAATTCTTTCTCTAAGTTGGTGTAGCTGCTTTCTTCAGGTTGTAGAGATACTTAAGCTTTACATTAAATACCTTTTTAAATAACAGCTTCTGACTCAACATCTGATGATGAGAAAGAGAAACCCTAAAGGGATCTTTTGTCAGAGGTAGCTCAGATCCTGAATCTTACTTATTCAAGGAAACTTACTTAAGTTCAATTACACTAAGTAGGACAGGAATACCATTTAGAATTAAGATTTATGGAGGCTCGGGGTGGGCTACAAAAAGTGTACAGGTGTTACTTGGAACAGTTTGTTGTGTCAGGAGAGAAGCATTGTACCTAGTATGTTAAACTTCACATTTCCTTTTCATTCTCCTTCATATCTTCAACTGCCCAAAGTGTGTTTCACTAACTTTGATAGGGGGAACCAAAAACTCTGTGGTGGAGTGGGCAGCTCTGCCAATATCTCTATACAAACTCAAATTATTCTCACTTTGCAACAGCAATCCTCATGCAGTTACTTTTCTGCTTTGAGACAGAGTGTCAAGAATTTCATGAGAGTTCCTTAAGAACTACACAGTATGTTAAGATCCAAAGAGGGCAGAAGAAGTTGTGTACTTGTACTGTTCAAGTAAAAGCTCCATAACTTAATGAATTTATGGGAGAACAATCCACAACATTAAATGGAATGAAGCACTGGTTAGTTACCTGAAAACTACTCTTGAAGTCATCATGGAGTTGTAATTTTAATTTCACATGCTACAATATTGTTGTGTTTAGGTTTTACTTCAGATAATACAGAGTATATATTAAAATGTTAATAGCATTAGCTAAACCTTCAGGAATGTGCTACAACGGACTGGCACAATACTAGTAAACATTCTCTGTTTCTTATGTATTAACAGAAAGGGCTTTATAGCCTAAACAAAAAACAGTGAAACCAGTAACAGGAGCTGTTATTACATGCTTTTCCACTGAAACCATGAACAGAGAGATCATTTATGCTAAAGTCTGCTTTTCTTTGAATTGCCTAGATTGTTTCAGTCATGCAACATGTCTTAATCACAGGGTGTGGAAGGATGCTTTTCCTGTGCAGTAACTGCACTGTATCTTGCGCTAAAATTTTTCATCCTGCTAGATAAAGTGGTAAACCACAATCCCTGTAAATATTGCTTTAATTTAAGATCAATTGCAGTTTATCATTCAACTGAGAAAATCTACATTTACACCTAATAGGTTTTGTATCATTACTGTTCCATCAGTGTATAAGTACGATAATTTGTTAGAGAATAAAGTATTTTGCAATCAATTGTGAACTCCTGTAACCTGCTTGCATGGGAGTATATTCTTCTAACTATGATCATAAAGACACTTAATGAAATATTCAGCTTAGAAATTGTTTCAGTTGCGCTCTTGGTTTTGTAGCAAGTGCAAAGTAAAATCACTCATGCATACTGAGATAGAACTAGCTCTGTAATTTTGAGTAGATTGTTTTATGGCAACAGAAAGTCAAATTGGCATAATGCAACTTGTCTGCTATTTCTGTATCTCTCCTACCTCTTACTGCCATGTGGTTACATCTCCTTCAATTTGTGTAGTTTAACTCAAGATATATTATAAATAAAGTTATATACTTTTTTTGTCTGTATAGTTGTGGTTTTCTGGTTTACTTTTTTATGTATCTCAAGTAACAGGTAAATTGGATTCTTTAAATACCTGCTCATGTTGGTTGGATTTTATCACATAGGAAGGATACATTTCTAATTTATTGTTTCCTGTATGGACTTAGTCCCTCAATATACAAAGCTGGTCCTCAGTTTATCCAGTATTTTAACACTGAATACTACTCTTAAGATTTTATACATGGGAAGCCTTAAGTAAAATACAGTCAAATCTAACTATGAAGTTGCTACGTGCCAACACGGTAGCTGAGAAATACAAGCTGCTGATTAGTGTCTTTAACACCAGTTTACCTAGTATTAAACTAGGAAAGACAGTTGCCATTTTATCTATTAAATGGCTACCTCTGGGTAACCATAGATATTTCAGCCAAAAATATTTCCAGTTTTTGTCAAAACAAAGCTAGGGAAAAGCACATTGTAGTGCTTGACCAAGTCCTAAACTTCTTCCTGTATATATGCTTTAGAGAACTTAATCTAAGGCAGCAATGCAGGATTTTTTTTTCCGGTTTTTTTTTTTTTTAGTCTTAAAAATCTATTTAATTGCCTTTGGGATGCAAAGAATAATTGGCACCACCTTTTTTTAACAATAAAAAACTACTCGAGTTCTACTATTTTAGTTTTCATTTCCCTACTAACTGAAAAATAACATGCCTGTTAACAGCATGTCCTGTATTGCAGAAATGCATAACTCTGCTCATGACAGCAGACAACTGGGACAGATTTGCTGTATTGCTTCCTTTTCAAAGACTGAGCCACAACCAACACAGTCTTTGGCTTATACTCTAATTCCTAGCTCCACGTGCCTCTAACAGTGCCAGGTGCACTCTCTCATCTCGTACTGTTATCAGGTTTTATTTCCTATGGCTATACATGTACCATGCAAACACACTGCCATACCAGGTACCCCATATTACTTTTTTTTGGATTTGGATTCAAGCAACTTGTCTGTAAAAGGTCAGTTCTTTTGAATTGAAGTAGTCTTGTCAGAGCCATGATTTTAAAAGCGTTTAAACACTTAAAAAAATTAAAATAAGAAAAAGTAAATACAAAATGCTAGTATTTCTTACCAATCTCATCCCCCTGTCCTGAGATGATGTAAATGCAATATAATTTTCTAGAACAACACATTTCTCAAAGGTTTTATTTTCAGTAGATAAAATGCATATGCATGTTTTAAAATATTTGAAAACATTCAAGAAATGCTCAGAGAAATTAAATAATCATTATCACATTTACAGCTATATGTGTTTGTTTATACTCATTTTAGAACAACTGACTGCAAAAACATGAAGAAATTGGTTAAAAAAACAGTAAAACTACAGAATTTTTTTCTTCAGCTTTGCTTGATTTCTGAAGAAACTACACAGACTTGTGCAATATCATCATACTCGTATGTTCTCTTCAAAAATGTGTCTGTAAGTCTTAGGCCAGAGACACTCTAGAAGGGGAAAATATTTATTAAGAGTTGTTACTAGAAATATTTTTTACAACAGCGATTTTACAACAAAACTGTGCTAATAACTTACCTGCAATCCCTGCACTGAAGACAACAACGTCAGTGCAAGATGGAGGGATGAACTTGGGTACAGTTTTCCAAGTTGCCTTCCTGAAACTCCACACCAGTGGATGGAATTAGTATTGCACATTTCTAAAACCAGATCCATAGTCCTTTCACTGCTAGAGGAAATCGAAAAACAAGAATAAACCTGTGGGCTTTCTTAAGCACTCAAAGACTGCAGACATCTAAAAGCTTGATTATTATTAAGGTTACTATTAATCAAGAGTCATAAATAATTGTAAGATGGCAAGCAGTATTTATGCACAGTAATTCAGCTGCAGACAGCTCTTTGACACAAGCATCCTGTCATGGGTTTAGCAATACTGGATAACATAAAACTTGGATGGACTATAAGGTTTTCATGAGAAGTATCTACAGGCCAGATACATGCTTTAGTCTCTGGGCTCAACTTCTATATAGAATTTCTTCATTTAAATGTCAGTCTTGCAACCCTAAAATGAGTTGTTATTTAAGTATGAGGTACAGATTAATGGAATTTCTCTACAGAATTCTGGCTATCTCCTAGTTCAGTACCACATTACCAGATCGTGATACAAGTTTTTTAGTTTGAGTTTTTTTTTAGTCTCTGTGTTTCAAGTAGTTTTGTGTTGGCCCAAGGCTAGGTTTAAGTAGTTTCAGTAGGAAGTACAGAAACAGAAAACAAAACCAGCCACCCCACTCACCCACTCAGGAAAAAGTAGGAGAATCACGTGACATTGTTACCTGCAATTTGTTATTTTACATGTAATGTCAAAAGGTTCTTCCAAATTTACAGTATCTGGTATTGTCTCCAATGAAAGCCTTACATCACCGTAACCAGGAGCCTGGGTAGGAACAAGAATGTATATTCTCAGATGCTGGATAGGGAAATTGAAGTTTTTACTGAAGTTTTCATTTCCTGGAAGAAGTGTGCAGTAAGAGAAGTCTGAAGAAAGAAGATTGACTGTGCCTTTGATTAGTATGGAAATCACAGCAGCTCTCCAACTGATGAACACCTTCTTCACAGGTTTAACAATTCATCAGATAAGGATGATCTTTATTACTACATTTTCAGGAGAGTGTAAATCCTTAAAGTTTGAATAGCCATATACAGTTCCTGAAAATACCAGGTCTAATCTAAAGCCTCTGTTAGGCAGATAACAGATCTGTGTGGACACCACCAGTAACACTTCCCTGCATAAACCCACCACTATTCCACATCCTAAGAAGCAAGAGAAACTGCCATTTCGGTCTTCTGTGCCTCTGCTAAATTAATTAATTGTCATCAGTCAGAAAGTCACATGATATGAACACTTGTCAGTTATCCATGAGACAAACACATCTCATGGTCTACTAATAAACCTATAGTAAATAAACTTAGTACCAACCAGGGCTGAGTCAGAATAGTCACCTGCAGATCAAAAAGCATGTTTAGATTTTCAATTCCCATGAATGATAGATCATGAGGAAAAAAATAAGGGGAAAATTTGTCCTGCCTTCCAAGGTTTAGTTATTGTACATTTTTAAATTCTGCTAATAAAAAGATGTTGTAGTGGAAGTTATATTTACAGTGTGATTGAAAGATATTTCCAAAGTGGTCCAGAAAGTCCGTGGCTGACAGGCTGGGAACAGGTTTTAGTCACATAAGTTTGCTAAAGACTAATGACAGATGACATTTTAGAAAGCATATTAAACTGGACATTAGAGTAAGCAAAGGAATGTCAAACCAATGGGGACTTAGATTTGTCAAGCAATATGCATTTGGGACCTTGCATGAAAGATAAGTAATTATTCGGTACTGGAAAAATGCAAATATATTCAACTGTATTAAGTGACATGGAGGAATTGACTGGAAAAATTAAACACATTACACTAAACAACAGTGTTTAGTTTCCATTAACATTAGGTTCTTTTTCCAGAGATACATTAAGGAAAAAACCAACAAACACAAACCTACAATAAAAGCAGTATTTTAGAGAATAAACTTAGCATCAACTGACCAAATCAAAACAGAATCAGAGTAGATGAGACCTATACCTTATAATATCTGTTGAACTCAAAAATGAGATACCTCCAGGAACTGATGGTAAGAGGCAAAGGCCTTGAAGTAACAGTAAGAGGAGTAATGTAGGTTTTATCCAGAACTGAGATAATTGCTCAGATTATGGAATCAACTAGACAATTTCCTGCTTGTGCTACTAAAGAATCATGTTCTATGACTTCAGACTGGTTCTAGTGTGATCCTGTACTGAATGCCTATGAGCATGTCGAGCATCCTCTGGCATATTGTGAACACCTGCCTGGTTCATTGTCCCCCAAAGAGACTGTATTTGTGAATTCCAAGACCAATCCACATTAAAAACAAACAAACAAACAAACAAACAAACAAACAAACAAACCACTCCCAAAAAACCAACCAAATCCACAAATTATGGTATGTGGATACTTGTTCCAAAGGTGCATTTCTGATCTGACCTGTCACTAGGTCACTAGGTCACTTCTCTAAGTTTTCCTCCCGTTTCCAACCACAACACTTAGGTAAGTAGGTAATAGTAGAGGTAAAATTCTGGGCCTGGGTGGGAAACAATAGTTACAGCGCTGGCAAATGGATTAAGAGGAAAATGATTAAGGGTGAGGTCTAGAAATTAAATAATATGATAGCACTTTAAAAATTATGGTAGAAAAGAAGGAGTTACACTGCAACTCAGACAGGGAAAAAAAAACCAACTACCTGCTGCTTTTCTAAAGACAGATGTTGCTCAAAATACCCAAAATAGTGTTTTTCTGTTAATCACAAGGCATAAAACCACAAGGCATGACCAAAACTAATCCTGGAGTGTTGAAGTGTGTGCTTCACATGCAATTCTCAAAGATTCAAATAAAAGAGATGCAGAGTGAGACAATATTGATTTAGGAAGGGAAAAGAAATGAGTGAAAAGGTCAATGAAAATGAAACAGTTTATTGTTAAAAATAAGCAGCAAGTTTCAAAGTAACAGCAGCAACTATGTTTAGAAAAAGGGCAGTTTCTAATTTCATGGGTTTATGCTAAACACCTCAATTAAAAATCAAGACAAATTTCAGTGACTTACAAACTTTTCAGTGACTTTCTTGTAAATTTCCAGGATCTAAGTTTGTTTGCCTAGTTCCAAGTCAGTGTGACTTACCCACAGAACTGCTCAATGTACTAGCAGTTGGAGACTGGGCAAAGACACAGACCCAATTATAAGCTCTGTAAACAGACTGAGATTCAACTGTCAAAGTTTAAACTATGCTTCTGCATCTCTCTCACCATCCTCAAGCGAGAAGATGCAAACCAGGTTTAGGCATTATATGGCTGACTTCAGCAAGATACTAATTACAACTCAAAATTCAAGAACAATTTATAAATCAACTAAAATAGAACAGACTCAATAAAAACTGTGGACGTGAAAGATAAGTAACATTGTGCATAAAAAAATGTTACTCCAAGCTAAAATGTCTGTATGAACTTGGGAGCAACTTCCATATGGAGAGTTGGCACATTAAAAGAGGTTATTTTGTCAGTTTGTTGCCAAATGGTATCCAAGCAGTTAATTTTACTCTAACAAATGTATTTTGCAACACTGGTTACTGGATTCTGACAATTAAAGTGCTCACTCCATTAACTTATCCACACTTCACTGAAGAAATATATGAAATAACTCTCTAATACATACAGAAAGGTGTGAATAAAAAAATGAGGCTCAGAAAGTAAACAGCTTGCACTTTTCCAAGTCATAATTAAAATAGTTCATTGAGTTCCTTAAAAATGAATGCCAAGTTAAATGAATACTTAAATTAATTTAAAATTTAAATTTTTAAAATTAATTAATTTAAAATTAAATTTAAAATTAAGTTTTAGCTAAATACTGAAATTAATACTTATGTTGAACTTACCATTCTTTGGAGCTGACTAGTTTGCAGCCTTCCGCGTTCACCCAGATTAGTTTTCCATACAATGTCTAATTTACCAATCACTGTTACACCTTTTATTACTCCAGCTTTCTCTGCAAATTCTTGCTTTGGTTTTAGACAGTATAAGTATTGACGTGTATCCATAGGTTGTAAGTAAGTCCTTGTGCCAAAAGTAGACTCACTGAAAGGACAAAAACACTATGTCTTAATTTAAACAGCTATTCTGAAGATTAAGAACCCAATTTTTTTCCTCCATACCCCACAAGTCTTATTGTATGTGTATGCATAGTTTGATAATGGTAAAACACACAGAATATTCTTTTTTGTTTTCACAGCAGAAAAGATCTCTAAAATTTATGTAGCACCAAAGACCATGGAGAAATAAAAGAACCTGTTCTTCTCTTCTCAGAAATAACATAGAAATTCCCTCTGCTACATTATAATTAATTATCTAGCATCTTAACATTTAAACAAAAATGCTGGTAATTTTTATTCCGCTATTTGTTTTCCCTCACAGTCAATCTCAATGTCATGAAACTAAGATTCCTATTCAGGAGAAAAACCATTACAGTGGATGCAAACATTTGGTAAAACAAAGCTTCATTATGCTGCAGGTGAATCCTTCAACAGGCAAGGAGAAGACAGAATTTTCACTTCAGCCCCTACTGGTGAAGCACTCAACCATCACCTCCAAAAACCCAAGCAACTGCAAAGCACAAACAGCTTTTGTTAAAAAAAAAAAAGTTAACGTCACAAGATCTTGTATCCACTGTAGTCAGTTATTATGTAGTCAGGTATTAGGTGTGTAACTAAATTAAATTTATTTTATGTCAACATGAAAAAATTTAATATTCTATGACTCCATGAGGGTGTACCACTGATCCACCTTGACTGGTGTCTTGGTATATCATGATTAGAACAACTGAAAACAGTCAGCAGTTTACTGATAAGAAGCAAGGATTAGTCAGATGAGTCCTGTAAGGCTAAGTATATACACAGAGGTCAGGTCAAAACCAGAACTGGGTTAAATTTTATATAGGAGATAGTGAAATAATAGTATGTTTTCATTTTATCATGTCATTATTGTTACAAATTATTTAAGGATTAGGCTGGATAGTTCTCTATTAGGTAGAATTACAGAAAGAAAACTGTAAAAAAATTTCCAGTTGAACATAGAATAGGTTTTTGATTTTTTTACTCAAGCAAAGACATACAGTCCTCCCATTATAGATAAACAACTAACTAATACTTGTATCTCCTGAAATATTAATATGAAGCATTTCAAAGTCAGATATCCTGAATGTAAACATACCTTTCCCCTGCTGTGTCAACTGTGTTCAGTTCTGCAACATTGTACATCATAGACGGCTCTAAAGAAACCTTCTCCATAAACATTGGAGAGGTAGTGATATTCTGAATTTGAGCTTCCAGAAACACTTCATCTGTCTGAAAAAAATCAAAAGTTCAAGTTCATGAAGATATAATTAGTGTTATTAAAAAGAGTAGGGAGTCCTATTCTTAAAAAAAGTCACACGTGTTTAGTTCATGCCTGCAAATCAAATTAATTAATGCAAGAAAAAACCTTAACCCCAGTAACAACAGGAGCAAAAGTGTTAGTCAACAGATATCTTGCCAAACAATGGATGTGGGATAATTTTGCTGTGTTCTACCTATTGCTCATTTGTAATGTACTAAATCACCACTTCCCAAGACTTTCATCAACTTAATAGCAACTCGGGTTTTATCAAAATTATTTATAAAATGGAATAAATAGTAAGGAATTGCAGTGCATAAGAACATGTCAAGCCAGATCACTAGTGTGTCAAGCTGTATAAAAAAATTAAAGTAAATGTGTGTGTTTTCCTTTACCTGAAGTAAAATGGTTCAGGTATATGCTCTGAGCTTTTATTATTAAATAGTAGCATTCTAGCTAAAACGCAAAATCCAGCCCCTTCTCTCACTCAGCTGCATCATGCCAAAGGTTACTTATATTGTATACATCCAACAATTTAACTGGTGCTTTGCCTTCAGAACATCTGAAGCTAATACCTCAAGGTGGTATCAAAGGATCAATTCTAATACAAAAATGAAAGCTACAGACTGTTAAACTTCAAAAGATGAAAACCCATGTGACTAGAGAAGTATTTGCCTCACTTCTTTTGTGGAATTCCAGAGCAGTGAAATCACTTTGCATGTCTAAAAATCTCAGAATAGAATAATTGTGGAAGACTCAGTCTATTAGAGATATGAGTCCCCAGAAAAGTGTAAACCACTTAAAGAATTAAAAATTAAAGAAGTGACAGTTAAAAGAAGGGGCATACCAAATTTGTAGTTACAACAGTCACTGATTCAGGCCATTGGATTAAGTGATTTTTGTAGGTCCCTTCCAACTGAAGTAGTCTATTCTACAGATTCAGATTGAAGCAGTTTGAGTATTTTGTTATGATAAATTTTAAGAAAGTACTTTGGTGGGGAAGGTGGAACAAAACTTATGGTTTCTTTTTGATCAGTGTAAATAAATGATTCTTTATACAAATAAAAATGTATTTTATACAAAATAAAAGTGGGACAAAACTGCCAAAATATGTTTAGTCTCAAAAAATTGTGTTAGAAGGAGAAATACAGAATGGTTGTGTTGTCTTTTGGGATTGCCTTATAAACACATTAAATACAAAGCAGCATGTATATATAGCAATGAAAACTGCGCAACCTCAACAGGTTACAGAGACACTTCATGCTTGCAGGAACTGGAAATAACCCCAAATAAAACATGGCTCTCAGTAATCATTACTACTACTGCCTGACTGCCACTTGAATTGATACAATTTATATCCCATAAATCCATTGCTCAAAGTTTCTATTTACCCAAATTTTAGTAGTTTTCAAAACAGCAACCATAGGCAGAAGTTTTAAAAAGCTAATTTGAAAGGGAAAAGAAAAAAACAAGCAGCATAATGAAAAAGCAAGTTAGTTATGTGTTATTCCTAATTTGGTTTAGTACTACATATTAAAAAAAAAACCAACTTGTCAAATATGCAGTTTATTTTAGTACAAGGCACGCCTTAAAGTGAAATCAGACTGCAGAAGTAACATAGTAACTCAATCGTTACATGCAGTTAAAATTGTGAAGCGCAGTTCCAGCTAGCCAGAGGAAGGAAGAACATCCAACTGCTGCTCTCTCCTCAAACCCACTGTCTCCACCAACCAGATATGAAAAGTTCTGTCACAGCTTACACAAGCAGTGCTGTACTGAAACCTACATTTCCATGGGTCAAAAGCAGAAAAATTTTAGAAGGAAATTAACTTCTCTTTTCAAATAATAGATCTAATAAAATTTTGTTGAGGTATTTTATAGGAGGACCCCCATAAGAATCTGTAGATATCAAGTTCCAGTTTCAACAATGGGTATTAAAGAAAGAGCTAACCATTTAAATGATTAGCTACACATATAAAGATGAGAACGCATCCGTTTATGATATGCAGAACAAACATTGCTTTTCCATTATGTTTGTAAAGAATGTCAATAACAAGCACATAGACAGTTTAGCAATTAAAAAAGCATACATATTTATAAAAAAATAAATAAAAATTACCACAGAACTGAGGTCACTCTAATGGGAAAATAAAAAAAAAGAACACATTAGAGAAATTAGGGTTAAATGTTAAAGAAAAAGGAGGCTAACTTCCAAACAAAATGCATTTCTGCATTTTTTGCACCATTTAAACAAGACAGCATTAGTAAGACAGAAAAAAATAAAAATGGATGCAAACAAAAGATGACAACTACATTTCTAATAACTTATAGCTAGTATGGTTACGGGATTTACTAGCTTTGCTTCAGAACCAACCCAAAGTAGAGCTGAAGGCACATAAGTCACAGACAAGATAATGGTAGAATAAACTGACTCAAAAAAAAAGAGTTAGCTTTTGAGTAAGTTTAAAGTTTGTCCTGAATTTCAGTCCATACAATGGGTTGTACATGAAATGGAAAAACAGTCCTTGTCACCTTACAGATAATTTTAAGTATCCTCATATATAATGTCTCAAAAATAATGTTGTAATGTGTCCTAGCAAAGCTACTATGTTGCAAGTTAGAACAAAATTTGGCATGATATCAAGAAAAACTCTTTTTATAATATAATCAATCCAAAGACCCAAATTCAATTGCAAACTTTGTTGTCTACCTCCCTGTGCATGCTTGCAGGAACAGAACCTTTTACAGAGCCTTTTTTCAAGGCACATTAAAGTCAGTGAAAGAGTAATTCAAACCCAGGATTGCAGCAGGTTAGGGCAACAGGGCATGTGTTCTATGCATAAATTTCAGTGATCAACTCCATTTGGGTGCTACTGCAATATAACAATAAGCAAGAAGATTAATGTTCAGCATCATTCCTTGTCTTAGAAGAAATTAAATTATGGATTATCATTAGAATATTAATAGAAACTAATTTTAGTAACAGCCATTATGAATAGACAGCATCACATTCATAATCTTAATGATTTAACAGTTTAACTGGTTAGTCAACCTTTAGAGATCTTTAGTTAACTAATAACTGACACGTACCATTTTTTTCTCCCCTGCTCTCAAGGATAATAGGATGAATTTCTTGGTGCTTTCACAGCAATGTAGTATCACACTCAACAGCTAACCATAGACTTATTTCTAGGTTTTTAGAAGTTAATTGAATTCTATGGTCACAAGACATAGCAATACTTTATATACTTTCAGAAATTAGACAGGAGTGCTACTATACCAGTTTGATAGGCAAATGAAAATTGCTCACTTAAAAGCATCCAAAATATTTAAAATTTTCTTTTTCAATAAATTGAATGGGTATGACGATAATGGGAGCTGCATAAAATCATGAAGAGGAAGAACAAAAGGCATCAAAGAGCCTCTTAAAAACTCTCCAGTGGAAAAGAAAAAGCACAAAAATAACCCCAAAACCCAAACCCACATGTACCAGATCAAACACCAAAGCTTCTCATAGATTTTTACCATGAAGAATTGGTAGCTAATTGAATAAGACCCTTAATAAGACTGGTCAGTATAACTACTATGAAAACAACAACAAAACAAGTATGTAAAAAGTTTTCCCAGAATTACCTTAGAGAGGTGCTTCATCACAAACTTTACACATGAAGTATAAAGAGACAGCACCATTTCAGACATCTGTCCCTCTTTTCCCTACCACATACTTTACAGCTGAAACAACAATATAATCCACACACTAAATAAGAAATATATTTTGCTCCCAGAGAAATTACCTAATTTCTTAGAATTATTTTTGTTCTTAAATCACAGCAGAAAACATTTCCAGACATTCCCACTTACAGATAATAGCAGCTCTATAAAGGGCTCAGTCAGTGCTATGTGTTTATGCTACAGTCCTGCTCAGCTACCTCACACCTGGTCAATGCATGGTTTGAAGCCTGTGGCCAAAAGATACATACCAAATTCTTCCCATAAACAGACAAAGGCAGACATGTATGTATGTCCAAATAAATATGCAAGACATATATAAAAAGTCATTTAGTTTAGAAGCACTGTGTGTAACTGTCACAAGCCTGAAACTTAAATTACTGGACTCAAAGGTCATAGTAACATAGGGAAAATCTAAATTTAAGTTTTCCTCACTGATAAATTGTCATCTCCTTTATGAACAATTAATCTCCCTTACAGTAAGTACTCTATCAGCCTAAACATACAAGCAATAACTGAAAGTATCTGAGTCCATGAGAAACTGGAATATATGCAAAAGTGTTAGTCAATTAAATTAAGGTCCTGGCATCTTTCACCCTTCATCAAAAGCCTAACTATTTTTAAACTATGTGATATATATTTACCACTGTTTTTCTATTAGAACAGATCACTTTTCTCAGAAAGGTGTACTTAAAAAGCACTTTAATTTAACCTAGTAACAAACCCAGTATGCCTAAACAAACCTGAATACACACAGTTCTTACCTCTGCATTGTAGAATTTGGTTTTCACATCTAGTGGTTTAAGAACCTGAATGAAATGGAAAAAAAGACAGATTGACGACTCGTTTTTCAGACAGTTCAGTATAGACTGTTTTGAAGTACTAGTCTCTTTTACTAAAAAGTGTTATTTTTCTTTTGATCTTATATATAGCAGGTGCATGATAGAATACATGACAACCAACTCAAGAGTATATCCTAGCTGCTTCTTACTTGTGCACACTTGACTGCTTTCCTACTAAGCAGTCTCCTCATACTGCAAACAAGTAATTCTCTGCCTAAGCACTGGCCTCTTACAAAACTGCCCAAATCCAGTGCTCTAAGTAGATCTGTGTGTTTAAAAGAACGCTATATCCATCCTGGGTCCTGCATTATCTTTCAACTGTATGCAAGAACTATCTAACATTTACAAGTCCTTCAGAGTTTTCTAACAAAAGTTACTAAGGTCTTCTCTAAACATAAACAAAGCAGAGAACTATCCATTTGTTTAGCTTTCTTAACCTTCGCTTCCTTCTTGAAAATGCAACTTCCAAGAAATTAAAGAAAATCATAATACATAAAATAATAAATCATATTCATCTCATGAGATCCAGTCAGCAAAATATGAAAACTCAATTATATAAAATATGATTATAAAGTGTTGGTTCTTAAGGCTTGAATTTTGTGCATAAAGCTACTGCAATTCACACATTCAAATATGAAGAGTAAATAAAGCAATATAACTGAAAGAAATAATCTTCTATCATACTTGTAAAAACCAAATTTAAATTCTGTTTCTGAAGACATTTGTTCCCCATTACAAAGGGAAACTTTTTTGTTTGCATGTAAGTGCAGTGCATCCTGAGAGACCTCTAATGTTCCAAGTTGTCAACAAATTTTTTAGCACTGAAGAATTCAAGATCAAAAAGTTGTCTTCACAGAGATTTTATAATTTTAAAATGCATAAAGTTCAAATCTTTCAAGTATTCATAACTATCTTTTTCTAGTAAAAAAAAAAAAGAATAAAACATTTTAATTTAGGTCTTTGTTTGTTGAGAGACAATTTCTTCTAGCAAATATTTTTCTTCAGTGAGCTTCTTATAAATTTTCCAACATGCTGAATTTTTTCTCTCTTCTGATAAACAGTCTTTCCATTTATTGCAGTAAATTTCAACTGGCATTCCAATAAAATACAAAAAATTATTGGGAGGCTCAAAACCACCCAATCCTAGAAAGAATCATTCCTTCTCCAAGAAAACATAATGCTGTTAATTACTCAGAGAAAGCTCTGGAATAAAGGGGCATTAACAATTAGTATAAAACTACATATATTGGTTTAAAAAAGAAGCTGATTCAAACAAACTAACACCAGTTCAACTTAAAAGATACTAGAAAATGTAACTAAAAATCTGAGAATCTGTAAAAGAGTATTTTTTTATTATAAAATGTAGCTAGTGACATCTCAATCACTAGCAGCCATGAATTTTCACTGTAAAGACATAGTTCAGTTTTCTGTAACACTCCTTTTTGTTCATTCTCAGGTTTCCTACTGGTGTCTCCATGTCAAATTTAAAAACTAACAGCCAAAATTCTCAGTGCAATGCTTTTCTCATAATGAATCAGATAGTATTTACAGAAATATAAGGAAGTGTATGTATACTTATGCTTCATACTTTGAATGAAGGGCTTCATATTTGACAACTGGCTTCAACTGTTTTGACAATTTAGTTGCCTGTGCTGGCTTCAGTTAAGAAACATGGCAATTACACATGCATGCAGAACCTCCAAAAAACTGCACAGATAAGTCTGCATACAAAATCCAAAGGAGACAATCTTGTACAAAGTTCTGACAAGAAGAACATCAGGGAATGGAGAAAATATGAGATCTGAAGCTTGCACATGCTTATGTAAGCAATCATAGAAAGCACAGAGGAGACAGAGAAGCGGAACACTGAACAGAGGAAAAGAATGGAGAAACGGAAAGGGAAGCAGTGTCATAAGGAAAGCATGACAAAACACACAAAGATGAAAATTAATTTCAGTAAAGATGAAGAAACTCTACAGAGATGCTAGTTTCAGAGGGAGGGCAACGCAAAAATTTATACGGAACCGTTTTCCCTACAATTGTTAGGAAACTCCTTTGACTAACCAATACTTTGGTATTCCAAGGCCCACAACAACTAACAGCACTCAAATTTTCTATCTAATGCATGGCAATTTAACCTTCCAAAGACTGAAATTATTTTTTTCTGAAGTATCTAGATAGAATACTAGAAAATAGCAAAATGCAATCACCTCATAGTATCACAGAATATCCTGAGTAGGAAGATAACCACAAGGACATCAAGTGCAACCTCAGGAATACGTGCCTGACAGCAGCTGTCCAAATGCTTTATGAAAACTTTGTCAGGCTTTGCACTGTGACCACTTCCCTAGGGAGACTGTTCTGGTGTCCAACAATCTGGGTGAAGAACCTTCTCCTAGTATCCAACCCAAACCTCCCCTAAAACAGCTTTAGGATGAAACTATATAATGCTCCTGGTATTACCAGATGCTCTGTCAGTGTATCTAAAAATGTATTCAGGAAAGCATGTCATGCAATCCTCCATTCCATGAAGATTAGTCCACCAATATCCAAGTCTCAATATATTTCTTTAAAAAATTAAACATCCATGAAATACATATCAAACAGAACCAGCCCACAGATTAGTTTCTTGCTTTCCTCAGTCATTCTTATCACAAGTCTTGAAATTTGTGTCATGGAAGAAAAGGTTTAAATTATGTCAATTACTTCTGTCAGTATTAGATATAATACAATAGACTTCTTTACTTAAATTCCTCTAAAAACCAAACTATTTAATTCCAGTTTAAGAAGGTTACACACACCAAATGAAAACTCAGAATTTTGCAATACAAGCTCAATGGCTGGATGTATCAAATCCAGTATGTCCCATACTTGTTCTGTTTAAAATAGTCATAGAGCTGACTGCTATAAAAAGGGACTTTTTGAGAACATATTTTTTTCTCAATAAATTAGTAAAAATTATTAGCTGTAATATTTATTAGGTCTGAGATGTTTAACTGTGTAGTAATTGGAAAACACCAGTTTATGTGAAGTTTGAAGCAGTGGCTCTTAATGGTTCACTTTTAAAAGGGAATGGATTTTTGGTACCTAAAAGTGCTTATGAAGTATCAAATGTTTTAAAATGAGTTTTCCAGACTCACACACTTATTAAAAGTACATGCTTCACAAAATACCTGAAATTTGAAGAACTTTCTGAAGTACATCTTCTCTCCAGTCTGTGTAGTATAACTTACTGCACAAACTAAGCTGAAAAAACCAAATAAAAAAAAAAGCTGCGTTAATTTAAATCTTGAGCTATATCAAAAGCAGAATAGCATGCATGTACTACAGTTTCATTTAAGCTTATTTAATAATAGAAGAAGATAAAATTTTACATGTGTGTTCCTATCTCCTTTACTTCATGATGGATCACGTCATCGATGCAACAGTCAGGTTTAAGTTCTGCCACTGCAGCACTAGAAGCTGAAAGGTTCAAACGCTGAGAACTTGTCTGAAGATCAGCCTGGGTATGGAAAAGCAAAGCATCAGTTAGAACTACAGCTATTTAACTTGTGTTCAAGAAAAGTAACTTATGTAATAAAGTACTAGGTCTTACTGAGCATTTTGTACCCTATATGCTTTCACACATATTGTAAGAGCTCCGTTGGTCAGAACATGGGCTCACAACACCAAGACTCTGGGTTTGATCCTTGTGTGGGTTACTGGCTTAAGAGCTGGACTTACTCATCCTTGTGGGTCTCTTCCAACTCAGAATATTCTGTGATATTCCTGACTCAGGTACCTTCTGTGACATATATTAAGATTATGAGATACTTAAAAAGCTAAAGACAAGTAGTAAAACACATAAATAGTCCAGTCCTTTACCATCCAGCTTACAAAATTTCTATTTACTTTTTACATTGAGTTCCACAATGACTTCTGAAATTTTTGCTGTTTTATTTGTTCAGAGAACATAAAACTCCAATTCTCTAGAAAACAATTAATACAATATTGAGATCAGTGTATACTCATCTCATTGAAAGTGAAGGTAAGTGAATATAACTCCATTTTTTAGCTGTGGAAGTTTTGCTACACCAATTCTTCAGAGAAGTTTCAAATAGAAGGGTGCATGTCCAAAGAAGATCAATGGAGGTGGGGGTGTTTGGCCAGGAGAAAAAGGCTCAGGAGAGGGACTTTACTGCTCTCTGCAACTACATGAAAGAAGGCTATAGCCAGGTGTGAGCTGATTTCTTCTCAAAAGTAACAAACAATTGCAGCAAGAGGAAACAGTGTCAAGTTGCACCAGCGGAGGCTTAGATTGGATAGCAGGAACAATTTCTTCACCAAAAGGGTTGTCAAGTATTGAACAGGCCACCTAGGGAAGTGGTTGAGCCACCATCCCTGCAGGAGACTCTGCAGATGTGTAACTTAGGGACAGAGTTTAGCAGTGGATTTGGCAGTGGTGGGTTAACAGTTCCACTTGGTGACTTCAGAGGTCTTTTCCAACATAAACTCTATGATTCTGTAATTTTTTGACACAATCCTAGTTTTTCATTTTAATCTTTGAAGAATTCTATAATAATTCCTATTTTTATGCCTTACTCTTTCCAATTTCCAGGTATATTTTCTGCATTGGAAAAAGTGACATAAATTTCCTAAAGTCTACGTATTAGCATTAAACATACAATATATTGTCAGAAAATATAATAATTGTGGTTTTTTTTTTAATTAATCTTTTATAAGTGGATTTTTCTTCACATACCTTCACCAGTATGTCCTTGACAACTTGATTGCTATCATTGTGCACACTAATATAACTGGAAAATGTCTCTCCCAGAAATATATTTCTATATTTCAGGAAAAAAAAAAAAGAAAAAAGAAAAAACCAATTAGTGACAGTTATTAAAAACCAGAGAATTTCACTGAAACATTTTTAAGTTCACACACATACACATTTGCCAGATCAAACCCTAGAAGAAAACTGGCATTTGCACACCCATACTTCTGAAGTCATCCTTCAGTTTTAAAAGAGAACAAACAAATCAGATTTCTTTTCTAGTTAAAGTCTGACATGAATAAGAAGATGGCTTTCAGTACCCACAAAAATCACGGCAGTACACTTTGTCAGTATAATGTGGTTTACAGTAGTGCATTAGCTTAGAAATTCACCCACAGCTGCAAATCTCTTTAATCTTTCAATCCTTACTAGGTTCAGTCAGGCTATCAGACAAGAAACATCAGGCAGCATACACATATATATTTATAAATTAAACCACCTATTATTTTTAAATGACTGAACATCTTGTTGTAGAACAATGGTATTCAAACAGAAAGAGAAGTATGAATCCTAAACCAAATGAATCCTAAATCTTGCATATTACAGTTACAATCATTTATTCTTACCCAAAATTTTGAGGCAAAGTCAGCATTTCTCCTAACATCAAAGTCTCAGCCCCCTTTACAGTAGAAGGATCATCTTTCATGAGCTGGTTAAATAGATTACCTGTAAAAATAACAAGTTCCTATTAATGAAATATTTGCTAAATTCAAAGTTTTGTCTACATTTCAGTTAGGCCCGTAATCACTTACTCAGATGTAGTTTATTTTAGATACATTTATTTTACAATAAACTTGTTTAGGGATGAAATATATATCCATAGGCCTGCCTACAAGTTATAACTTCAAGACATTTGTGTCCAATAATTCACTCAGTATATACATACTGAAGTTCACAATCCAAAAGGTACTGCTCAGATTAATACTGAATTTTGAGAGAAATTCTACCAATCTAAACCACATTACATAACAGAAGTAATCAACCCTGCTTGCTTTGTATTTTCACACAATCCTCCTTCTTGAATCTCTCCTTTGACTCTCTTATACTTGACTTCAAGACTTCAGCTATTTCTGGGAGACAACCCAGGGATTTCCAATTCATGATTGGCACACCGAGCATAATGCAACTCAAAACCAGTGATTCTTGCAAGATTGTTTTTCCACAGAACATTCATGTGTTGGTTCTAACTACCAGGGCCTTTTCTCTAAATTTAAAAAAAAAAAATATATAGTAATGCCAATCTTTCTCCACTTACACATTTCCCTCACAGAACTGCATCTCACTGTGTATGTTAACTGCTAAAATTTTGAGGTCATGTGTTTGTTTGAGTATCATCACCAATCTTTCAGAGATACAGGTCAAGAGCTATAGAGTGCACCTTGGTACTTTCCTTTAGCTATTACCAAATCTTAAGTATACTGCTGTTTCAGATAAGAGTCTATGGGACGTCATGACTCCTCTAACATATAAGTGTTCGATGATCATACTGCTTAAACTTGGTAAAACATACATAATAATCAGTTAGTAGAAAAGACTTACTTACCTGGCAAATCTCTTTCTTCACAAGTCACTGGAATATTAGTGAACAAGGTAGGTTTGGTTAGCCTCATCACTGCAAAAATAAAAAATTAAAAAAAAAAAAAAACAACACTGGTCAATCAAACAACTATTTTTAATTTTATTTCTCAACTTCCACAAAAAACCCAAAACCACTCAACAAACCAAAACCACCAAACAGGTCTCAGCCTGAAAAAGGATCACATGGCCTTTCGCAATACAAAAAAATCCCTCCCTGCTATTCTAAGATCCAAGAATGCCGTTGCTTCCTCTTGCTTTCTATCCCTGGTGAACTAACCTACTCATCTACTGCTTTCAATATGATGTGCAAGAGGTTTTAACACCTGCTACAGCATTAAGTGCTTTGTGGTCTTCAGAAGTATGTCCATTTCATTTGTTTATAGACTTTTCCAGCTTAAGTGCCTGTCCTGTAATCCTTGTTGCCCTAGAATGGGACATGATGACTCATACTTGATAACCCTTTCATTTTAGATACCTGATAACCCTTTCAGTCTATTAGAAATTGCATTTACATCTTAACCTATAGCACTATAACACATGGTAGAGTTACAAGACTGAAAGTCTACATTATTTACATCACTGCTTTTTCTCTAGATCACAACCTTTAAACCCAAACCAGTAAAACTAGTACGAAAACATCATGAAAATACAACAGAGCTATTTTATTAATACTGACAAAATCAAAATACTTAAGATTTTCCTATTTAAAAAACCCTATTTCAAATAAGTGGTATTTTCAAAGGCCACTTTAACTCGGACTCAAAATTACATTATTTTCACATAAATGACAGATTTAAGGTGTTACTTCTTAAAGTAATTTCTACCTTTTCAAATTAACCAAAGGCCCTAGACTTATATATAGCTTATCATGAAGGCATTCATATGAAACAAAATTGAGCATTTGTAATCTTAGGTGTTAATCTGAACATGTAAAAACCATTAGGGCTTTTTTCTTTGAAACTTAACAAATATAACACCAACTAACACTAAAAAATAAACCAAAAGGATTTATCTTGATTGCACCAAGTTAATCAATGCCTTTGCACTGACACAGGTATGGTGGGTTTATTTTTATTGTATTTTTGAACAGCTATTGTGTCCAGACAGCATTCTCTGTTTCCAGTGGTGTAAAATATTAAATTACTTTGATAAGACATTTGGGTACAGTGGGCCATGTTGGTTCACGAGAACTCATGCTACCATACAGCAGACCTATGCAAATTAGCATTGACAAAGACATTTTTCACATTAAAAAAAAAAAAAAAAGATAATATATTCTCTTTGTTATGGTGACCTTTGAAGACTTAGAACCATGAGGTATATTAAACGGAACCCAAGATACACAAAATAGAGTAAATAGTGAACCACATTCAACATTGAAAATTAAAAAGAAAAGATACTGAATTACACATGCTTATGAAGTAAGCATTCCTTGGAAAAAACAAAATGAAAGCCTAGATTTCAGCTTGTATACTGGTGCTAACCAAGACTAATTCTGAGAGCAATCAAAAGTGGTGTTCACTCTTGTATGACCTCAGTTACCAGCTGAGGTGCATCTACCATTATTCACATACAAGCCAACCCATAGCAGCACAAAGCTGGCAGCTACAGTGACAACAATCTCGCCTTCTGTTTAGTAAAAAGTTTGTTTAGATCTTTTGTCAGTATATCAAATTAATCTAGTGGGACTGTATTACTGGCATTATCCAGTTTTATTCAAATTCACACAAAGCCTGTATAACTAGTATTTGCTGTTTCTGAAGAAAAAGTTAAGTCATGTTTCAGAAAATAAATAAATACATTACAGAATTAAGTCAAAACAAACTATGATAGTCACATTACCACATTTATTAGGAGTACTAAATTAAGGTTAGAAAATGTATCATCTAAGATCCTAGATACGAAATACATTAAATACAACTCAAATCACACTGGATTTTACTTCATTTTATTTTCAAAAATGCTGATGCACAAAGAAATTTTGTTACTATACATTTTTAGCTCAGAAATATGTCAGTGAAAAATTTGGCTATATAAGCTTTAAAACTAGTAACAGCCCACAGCTGTACTGCAGTTATGCAGTCTAGATAGCATTTTGAATCAATTTTGCTAAGTGGTCATATTAAATGTCACAAGCACCCCAAACATCAATATAAGACATCTACAAATGTCTTAAAATTCAGTCAAAATTTAAAAATACATGCCAATTACTCAAATGGAGATTTTTTTATCTAAAAAAACCTGTAATGCCTAGATAAAATATGATTATCCAACACAAGGATGTTATAAGAATGTTAGGTTTGAGAGGAATTTACTTTTCTTATACAGAGTTTCTGTTATGCTTAGGTACACTTTGCTGTGAGCGGCATTAATGACAATCAGCAAATACTGTTTTCCCCCTTTTCCAGATGCTACAGACCTTGACCTCCAGCCACAGCATAATTATTTAGAATTAATAGGAGTGAAAATGTATAACCTTGCAGTCATATTGATCCAATTAACTTCTCTACTGCTCCTCCAAAGTTCTAATTGAGCAGGAACAGAATGACCTTGGAATACTTCAATCTTTTAGGAGACAAAAAGTCATCCTGAACTCTGCCTTTTATGACCATAAAAGGCATTCAAATTCTCAAAGACAACAAGAGGTTTCAGATAGATGTCTCATTTCTTAATTTCCTCACTTTTAGCTGGAAGCTAGTGTTTTCTTGTTCCCGAATGTAATTAGAGACAAAAACATCAGGGAAAAAAATTATCAAAAGCATAAAACAGCAATTATTAAGTTGTTCATTATTTTTCAGCCCACAGCTTCTATTGAATATTGATCATTAATACTTCTGTGAAAATATAGCTAACATTACTAAGACATAAAGTAAATTTGTACTTCACGGGAGGGATATGCAATCATTAGAAAAACTCAGAGACTACTTTCAGGAAATAATCAGATCTTAAAAATCCTGATATCAGTTACAGCTATTATAGCAATTATTACAACACACTTAAAAACATCTTTCCTTCTCCTAATTCCAGTGAAGCAGAGAGGATGTACTTTGCTTAACCGTATTAATTAGCATTAATTTTATTATCTGACATAGCTTGCCACAACAGTCTGGAATTTTTACTCTAATTTTTTCCTTTAGACCACCAAGGTACAGAAAAGCTATAAAACACAGTACTAAACTAAACAGAAACTTACTAATCTTAACAGAACTGTAAGTCTTGAAGCAAAACAAAGTTAAAAAATATATCATTATATATCATTATAGTTAGAAAGCTGTAGCAAAATAACATAAGTAGTTTCCTTATGGTTAATTTATCAGTTGTTTTAAGGTCTATATATTCTAAAGTGCTTAAAAACTCTAGTATTTCTGACAGTAATGTTATTACTAAACTGTATCTGAAATTATAAACTAAATATAATTCCATATTTATGTACAAGCAAATTCATTTTATCTGTAAGGCTTAGCTTTTCCCTAAGAATATTTCTAACATATTCACAGTATAATATATCACAGAAAATCCATATCTGTCCCATAGATCTTTGGATAGTAGCATTGCAAGATGGCAATTCATTCTGTTTAATGAGTCTATTCAATTTTATCCATACGTCCTCCAAATTCTGGTTTTTACAAAGAGATTGTTCAATTGTCCACTTGGCTCTACAAAATGCATGCAGCTTTAATCTTTCCAAATTATTCTGGAGTTCTTGAGATAAAGGATGAATCTTTTCTTTGAGTTTAGCTCTAGGGAGAGAGACACTCCAAGATCTTTTCAATTTTTTATCTTCATTAGATGGTGGTTCTCCTTGATAGTCCAAGTTAATGGGTTTGTGAACAGCTTGTGCTTGGATTAAAGTTGGACCATGTTTCATGCTAGAGTGAAACTCAAGGAGATTTTTTGTGCAGTCATAATCAGGAGATCCTGCAACATATTCTGAAGGTGTAGAAAGCTGTTTCAATTCTTCTGCTTCCTCACAAGAAATAACAGGTGCCTGCTTTTTTGGTTTGAGGGGAAGTCTGCGTAAATCATTTGAAAACCAGGGTGCAAATCTTGGTAACTGGCGAATGGGAAACTCCTTCACTGCTGCTTCTGCAAGTTTCTGCAAATTTATTAGATCTCTCTGATGTGGTCGACAGTGCAAGACCACTTCCATGCTTGAACAGTAGGAATCCAGTGATTCTTAGGAAAACAGTCTCTTGATAATGATTCTTGAATCTAGACTGAAACATCTTATTTACAAGAATTTCCTTGCCCCATGATGCAAAGATCAGTGGAAAACAGGACCTAAAGCAGAAGTATTATAAAACAATGAGATACTACCATATAAAGAAAAAGGCTGCTAGGATATTTTTCAAGAAAGAAACAGGTAGTAAAAATATGTGAGATATATATCAGAACACTCTATTTTATCTACGCTGAACATTAGCGGTTGTATTGTATCATTACCAGTGTAACTTCAGGACACTGAGCATTATCCACCTGCACACTGCTTACTCAAAACAGTCCTTTACAGGACTGAGAACTCTTTTACTGTCACCATCTCATACTTGCCATCCACTATTCTGGTTATATTGTTGTGATACATATTAAAAGACACACATTTACTGCTGCCTATTTTTCTCAAAGTTAGCAGACAATTTTGTAAAGAGTTTTAGTCCTATATATCAGCACTTTCAGCCGAGGCACATAAAGTAACTAGAAAACATGTATGTTACAGAAACCCTTCCCAAAATAGTACTGACTGATACAGTAATTTTTAAAGTGAAAAATTAAAAGGGAAGTGCTCTAAGTAAATTAGAGCTGCCTACTTCCATTTTATATCAGAACTTCATATCTAGTTTCAGCCTCAAAGCTTCCAAGCGTTACATGCAACTAGGCTTTAATCCTTGAGGAACTGGTAATTTATTAATTTATTAGACTTTTGGAATAACTAAGAAACTTATTAAGTTGTCAAAGGCTTTATACTTCCATACAAAGATTATATTAAATGCAGAAGCATGATGAACAGAGAACTACACTATTATGAAACATAAATAAAACATGCAGTGTTGCTTTCCTATTTCCCCCTGCATCCACAAAAATTTGCAATCATTTCACACTCCCTATAAGGAGAGCAGTAACATACATGATATTAAAACAACAAAATCAAGGACTGCCACTGTAGAGATTTGGTTTAATACAGTCACAATGAAAATAAATCCCCCTATCTTCCCCACTTCTACAAAACCTACAACCTGTATTAAATTCAGTCCAAAACCAAGGATGGCACTGGTTTCTTATAAAAGCAAAATGATCCACCATTAAGCTTTTTGCTTTAAATAAATTACTAGCAAAACACATTTGGCAGCTGCTGATCTTTCATGTTCTCATGTTTTTGCCCTTATTGCATATGTGTATATGTATTTGAAAAGAGCTTTTTGAGCTTTGAGTTATGGTTAACAGATTTTACCAGCACATGGAGACACCATTAAAAACTTTGTCCAGGAGAGTTTTAAAATGAGAAGATGGCCTCTGAAATTACTCATACCTGCACTACTTTATCCACCTGGGTGGTCTTACTGATCTAGAATGCTTACAGAGGTGAGATTCTAACCAGCTTTCTATTACTTGTACGTAACTAGCAGCATTTATGATTCAGAAATTAACAAATTCTTCACATGGCTCTCTTGATTTCTACATTAATTTTGGAGGCATGCAAGTGACCTACACAATTGTATTTTCACTCTTCGTGATCCCTGAATCAAGGAGGTAAGCCTCGTAACTGAACATTATGCATTATGAGGTGAAAGGAGCAAAAGCTATCCAAAGGGGAATCACGGAATCAGCTGTGTTGCAAAAGATGTCTGTGACCATGGAATCCAACGTAAAACCGACCACCACTTTGTTAAATACACCGTGGCATCAAGCGCCACGTCCAGTCTTTCTTTAAATACTTTCCGGGACGGTGACTCCACTACCTCCCTGGGCAGCCCATGCCAATGTCTAATGACCCTTCCCGTGACGGAATCCCTCCTAACGCACAGCCTAAACCTCCCCTGACGCAGTTTAACACTGTGTCCTCTCGTCCTGAAAAACAAACAAACAAAAGAGGCAGCAGGGGAACTGGAAAGGAAATTATAGCTGAGCATTTACTTTGAAGCCTTGAGCACTGACCCAGCCGGGCAGGCGCGAAGAGCCCCCCACGCCAGGAGCACAGGCTGCGGTGAGCGCGGCGCGGCAGAGCGGCCCTCACCGCTCCCTCACCGCTCCCTGATGCCCTCGGGCACTGAGCGCCGCGGGCACTGAGCGCAGGGCCGCTCCCTGCTCCACCTCCTTCTAAACCGGGGGAAGAACCACCCTGGGCAGCGGATCAGACACGCTGTTTCACCACCGAATCGGGGCCGGGCGGGCGGGAGCCGGTGAGGCCGCGCTGTTGGTACCTTTCAGAGCCAGCAAGTGCTCCTGCTTGGGCTGGTTGACGTCCATGGCCTTCACCCGCGGGATGGCCGGCGGAGGGACAGGAGCTGCGCAGACTGCGGCGGCAGCGGGCACGACCGTCCCAGGCTGCAGCGCGGCGGGACGGACTACAGCTCCCAGGGTTCCGCGGGTGGCCCGGGTGAGGCATCACCGCCTCATCCGCCTGCCAGTTCTGTTGTGGGGCACGCTGGGAGTCGTAGTTTTACATTTCTGTAATTTTGCACTTCTGCAGGGCGGTGCCTGCGCCCGCCGGGGTGGTGCCTGAGCCGGCGGCCGCTCTGCGTTCCTTCCTGCGGGGCCGCTCCTCCCTCCCCGAGATGGCGGCCCTGGCTGTAAACAAGGCCGGGCCGGAGAGTGGCCGCGGGCCTGCTGGTGGCGGTCGCGGCCCGGCGGGCGCTGCGGTGAAGGTGAGGCGGCGGCTCGGCCAGCTCCTGCGGCGGGGCGGGCTGTGCCCGCCCGGGACGCGGCGCGGGAGGCCTGTGGTACAGGATGTGCCCCTGGCGTGCCGGGCTTATGGATTGGTTTTGGGGTTTTTTTCTTTCTGTATGACCATCAGTTTTGCTTTTTGTTTATAGCTTGAGATGTTCCGGACCGCAGCTGTTTGCTCGCACTAGCTCGGTGCTGCGTTTGTAGCTTGCTGAGTGGCTCACTTGGTATGACTGACCTCTTTACGAGCATCAGCTGCGAGGGGAAACTCTACTGGCCAACACTCTGCTCTGGCAGATCTTGCAGGCCGCTTCCTTTTCCTGCGAGGATGTTTCTTCTGGTTGTGCCTCTTGACCAGTAGACTTGTCTTGTGGCACTGGATTAAATGAAGTGGGTAGGAACTATTGGTGGTCAGGCAAGATGCTGAGGAGTTAAAATGTTCTGTTTGTGTGTAATTATTTATTTACTTTTTAAAAATAAATAGTATGATCGTTATATGTGTGCATATAAAGCAAAATTACCGACTCAGTTTATGTACTGTGATTGCATGAACGTCTTTAAAATAAATTGTCATGTAGCTTCCTGTGTGAAGTTTTACTTTTTGATTAGCTTAATACCAAATATGGTCTTTTTAAATTTACAGGTTCTTGAGTGTGGGGTCTGTGAAGATGTATTTTCTCTGCAAGGGGACAAAGTTCCCCGGCTGCTTTTGTGTGGTCATACTGTCTGCCATGACTGTCTTACCCGGCTTCCCCTTCATGGCAGAGCAGTTCGTTGTCCTTTTGATCGACAAGTTACTGAACTAGGTAAGAAAATAGAAGTTTGACATTCTTGAAACCTTACAGTCAAGGATATCTGGAACATAATGCTTGACATAGATTCTTAGTGCTCCACTTAGTGACAATTCCAAGTAATGAATGTGCAGTAAGGAAAAGAAAGAACAGATTTTGCCTTTTTGTTCTTGAACCAAGAATTGCACTCTTTATATCTGGGCATCTTCTTGTACACCTGTATTTACAAAGGGACTAACTCCGTTTAATGTTTCTGTGTAAGGATTCCTGAAGTATGAGTATTAGTTTCCTATTGTCCTAAGCACTAAACTCATGTAATTGAATAGGTAAATTTTTGACAGACATTTGCCTGAATTCATGGTGAAGTGATATAGAGGGAAGGATTAGTGATAACAAACCTGGGTTTTACAATGTTATTGACTTCTGTGCATGAGTTATTAGTAGTGGCAGGCTATTAACAGGAATTCCCCTACTCTAAGAATGTCTGCATATGGTATTTGAAAGTATAAGATAAAGATTTTTTTATTACAGTGAAAGTTTATTTTAGGCAAAAGATGACATGTGCATATAATTCCTTCAGAATAAGAATTGCATAGTCCACATGGGGTTATAGAGAAGATAAGTTATCAGAGGAAGCTGTAACAAAAAGAACTTGTTAATAGAACTGGCTCCAGCAGTTTTGAATAGCACCGGAGGAAAAAGGAGCCTCTTGAAACGAGAATCTTTAGAAAAGGACATCTCTAATCTCATAAACCATGAAAGAAATGTTTAAGTATCAAGTTCACTTGACTTTGAAGTACAAGAATCTGCTACTTATATTGAGGCACTCTGCAGGATGTTTTTGTGAAGATAGAAATCAGGAAAAGAAATATCAGTCTCATATGAAAGAGGAGTTTGTTTTTTGGATGAGGGAGATGGTAAAGTATGAGAGTTATGAATGATTGCCAGTCTAGTAGAGTGGTTAAGAGTGATGGTTTGTTTGGCTTCTTATCTATGACTGTACAGCTGCACAAGTTTTCTTAAACTATGCTTTAGAGGTAGACTCTTAAGAGTATGGCACTTAGTCCTGTTGTTATGAAACATTTTTGTCCAAGACCGCTGCTTTTTTTCTTGTGATGGGGAACTTGTTGCTTCTTCTTTTTATTACACAATTTTTCCCAGGCATCTGAAAGGATCCTATCATATATTTTCAGTGTGTTTCATGTTTGATGAAAATAAAGCTTTACTGAAACATTTACAGATTTTTTTTTTCATTTTTCTGATAAGTTTTTGGTGAAATGTTATTAAACCTCCAAGTCCCCTACAGTCAGAAAGAAGGATGGAATGCTTCAGGATCCTTATATATTGAGGAGTTGATAAATTGAGTTGCATCCTGCTGTCTAACACTAGAAAGAAGAAGGATGCCCTGTGATCAACAGCTGTTTACAAAAGTAATTGGTAGAAAATCTTAGCCAAACAGCTTGAAAATAAAAATACTTCTGTGAATAAAAGTTCTACCTGGTGCTCTGAGGGAGGGGGAGGTCATAGGCACTTTTAGTCTTTCCATGTCAAAACCCCTCGAGACATATTACTGGTTGTAGGATATAAAACTAAGAAGTTTTGTGGAGTACAGCTAACCATGGTCCCTCTTTGAGATAGCTATACATTTTCTACCTTGCTTTAATCATCTAGTAGTTGCTGGTATTGGTTAAATTTGCTGCACTTGTATTTTGGTTTTGTTCTAGAGCTTAGGAGTAGGGAGGGACAACTCAGGGCCCAGAGGAGCTTTTCATATATCCCTCCCCTCTGTTTGAGGACATGAGAAAATGAACTCTATGTTCACCCAATAGTAATTCTACAATTTAATGTCTTTAATAAAATAGTGTTCTCTAGTCTCAGGGAGTTTTTTAGTATCTAAATCTTGATTATACAACCACTGCCAAGAGAAAATTCTATTGAAAGAAAAGCTATAAAATTAGGACAGAAAGCTACCTGTACTAAACACAGTTTCTTAATCAGTAACTGTGGCTTTTATGGGGACTTTTAGTTGGTCTAAAGTAACCTATGGTTACTTTTTTACTGTTGCTCTTATTATTAAAGCACTTAATACTATATTAATCCAAGTTTTCATAAGTAATCTTAGTAGCTTTTTGAAATAAATACTGGGGGATGTGTATATGGGTAGATGTAGCTATATTTTTTTGGAACTGGACTCGGTTTAAATATACAGTGCTGTCTCTTTTTTTCTGTATATAACTGTATGTGAAGGCAGGGTTAGAAGTACTTTGTGAATCAGGATTTTTGGAAATATGTGTTCTGCAACTGAAAATTGAAACATTGTTTACATGCTTAGCAAAATTTTCTAATAGTTCACCTAGAATAGAATAGAATCCTGTTACAAGAGAAAATATTTTGTAATGAACAAATAGGACTATAGCTTGCCTAAACCATTCTGCATTGCAGAAGAGACAAAACTTTGATTTTGGTGGGTTTTTAAAGAATTCTTTAATGAAGTTGGCTGTGATTAAAACTTGTTCACAAGATACGCAGGTGATAGCATCCTTCATGGAATCCATCTGACTGGCATTGCTTACATTTACATATGCCTTTGCTAGTGTTTGAGTGCCAAGCTGAAGCTGAAAAATGCTGTGCAAGAAAATGCAGTTAAACATTTAGACAAAAATTCTTCCTTTGTCCCTTTCATTATTTATAATAGTTTTGCAGTCAAGCCTTATGCTTATGAAATTGACATTTGTATTGTTAGCTGGAGTCAGTCTTAATATCTTTGGTCTGTCATTCCTGGCTGGCACATTTCCTGCTGTTCATGTCTTATTCTTCTTTTGAGATGACAATCAGAATATGTAAAGATTTTTCTAATGGGCACAAACATTCTTTGTAGGCACAAGGATGAGATTGCTAGACTCTCTTACATTTGTGATCATAGCAGAACTTGAGGTGAGGTGCAAGAGAGTAAATGGATGTATTTACAGAACTCATCGTTTAATGATTTTAGATATAAAATAAACACTTGGTCTTTTGTGTTGAAAATATGTCTGTCGGCTACCAAAAATTGTATGGGTAGATTTAAAGTAAAAAGGAGCTAAGTCCCATTAGTGCAAATATGTAAACTTTATGATAGATACCAGTGAAATGAGACATGACTTTTTAATGAGAATGCATGCTTATGACAAGGTAATCAACCTAGCTGATCAGTACTCAACCTAGCCAGTTGAGTACTGTCTCTCACAGTGTGGTGCTGGACAGAATGTCCAGCACACAGGTGGATAAACACATCAGGTGATGGGAGAGCAGCTGGTTCACAGGTCAGGCACAAGAGGTTACAGTGAATGGGGTGACATCAGAGTGGTGACCTGTCACTAGGGGGGTTCCACGGGGCTCCACCTTAGGCTCTCTGCTCTTTGACATCTTTTTAAGTGATTGGGTGCAGGACTGGGAGGGATGCAAAGTTCACAGTGACACAGAACTGGGAGGAGCTGTTGACTCTGGCCAAGAGGCCCTGCAGAGAGGACTGGGCAATTCCCAACCATCAAGGATAAGGGAAGATGCTGGGTTCTGCACTGGGATGGAGCAACCCTGGATGTACAGGCAGCCTGGGGAATGAGAGACTGGACAGCAGGGCCATGGAAAGGGCCTTGGGGTTCTGGTCCATGGCAAGTTGAACATGGGCCAGCAGTGCCCTGGCAGCCAGGAGGGCCACCCTTGTCCTGTGGGCATCAGGGACAGCATCGCCAGCTGGGCAAGGGAGGGATTATCCTGCTCTGCTCTGCTCTGCTCTGGGGCAGCCTCACCTCGAGTGCTGGGGGCAGTTCTGGGTGCTGCAGAATAAGAAGGACGGTGCTGGAGAGTGTCCAGT